TAAGGGCGGCCCGGCCTCCTGTCCCCTGCCCGGAGCGGCCTCCGCAGCGCCGCGGAGCTCGGCGGGCTTCGGGATCCGCACAGTGACCCACCTCATAAGGCTGGCTTTTAAATAGCAGCTTCTGAAAGCCCGAGATACTGCGAGTTTGATTTGTTCTTAACCCTTTCCTTGCTCCGAATAAGCAGAACTGAGTTTTTCTTATGCAATTGGTGTTCCTTTCCTGAAAGATTGTTATTTAGTATAACTATATTTCTCATTTCCGCAGTTATTCCTTGGATCTTTCTTTTCCCCCTTCTTACTGGGCTGGGCAGGGTCAGCCTTGACACTGCAGCAGGGTGTCAACTGGAGACGATTTTGATTTAAACACCTTCGTGTCCAGAACTAAGATAACTATAATTTCCATAGAGTGCTAGCTGGTGTTAAGAAGCAGTGAGCTGGTCTTTAGCTGGCTAGGCTGGACTAAAGGGAAACGCTTGTTAATGCCGGGGTAGCGGCTGCTGCATGAAAGCAGGCACCGGCCTGGCGAGCGCCGCAGCCGGGGCGGTTTCGGAGCGGGCGTTGCGTCCCTGGCGCACGCGGTGCAGGACGAGGCACCGCGTGCACCGAGGCCACAATCGTAGCGCCCCGTGGCACGTGCGATCACTGCGATTGCTGGATGCAGCCCGTCGTCCTCGGCAGCCGCCGCGTAGCTGCGGCCCCTCTGGCTTCGTGTCTTTGCTCAGCAGTTCAAGGAGCAACCAGAACGAAGCTGCGTGGTGTCCGTTACAAGTAGACGCGTGCAGGTGAGCCTGCCAATGGCCATGTTAATTGTGTGCACAGCAAGTGCCTCGTTACAAGTCATCCTGAGTCCAGCTTGCTGCACAACAGCCTCCATTTGCAAGCACCCCAAAACAGCAAACAATGAGTCTCTTACACTGCATCTTTAATATGGCATCTCAAAAGTTGCTGAAATAAGAAAAATCAATTAACATTTTTTTTTTACTGTGCTTTTAAAGTAGACTGCTTCTCCTTACATCTCTTTGCACTGTATATTCTAAAACTGAAGCAGCTACCGGGTCACAGATTTTCTCACTAGATTAATAACTCATTTTACAGATCCACTTGCACATATACGCAAAAAAGCCTACCTCTGAAAAATATCACTAATATTTGTTCTGAATTATGTGCCAGCAGCTCCATAGCAAAGCAGAGCTTGCTGCAGTTCCTGTCAGCCAGGTTCAGCTTGGGTAGGACCTCGTAGGTCACTGCAACTGGCTCTCTCCAGAGGAGCTGCTCTGTTCTATTCAGTTCCTTTTGGAAGGTAGATGGCTGGTAAGTTTTTACTGCTTGAATTGCAAGCATAAGAAAAATGCCTTTGAGTAATTTTTAAACAGCTATGCTCCATTATGTGGAAAAAGGTTGGCTAGTCCAGTGTTTAGGAAAGGAGAGTGGGGAGTAGAGTTCATGGATTCTGTCTGTTTTGCTTTTCATCTGGGAGATTGTTTGACCTTCCTGTGTATATCCACCTCAACAATACAAGCTTAAAATCTGTTTTGCAATTGATTTTTCACAATACTTAAAGAAAAAGCTTTATATACTATGAAGTACCCGCTTAGAAGGTTCTTGGTACCATACAAATATTAATTGTATGATTCTCAGATTATCTAAAACTGAAAAGGCTTACCCTTTTTTTTTTCCTTATCGTACTATTTGCATTAAACTCAGACACCTTCAGCGTCAGATTTGGGGCCTTATATAGAGCAGAACATAGGCAGCTGCTGTTCAGTATTTTATTATATGCCTGTGCAGAGCCTTTTGCTTTTCCCAGGACTTCTGTATGTGCAGATTTGTCTGCGTGTCTGGGTGGAATATGAGGCATTCCTTCTGCTGTTACCTTTTCGAACCGCAGGCGAGGGCAGCGCGGCGCCCTCGCGTGTCACCGCGCTCGGCGCAGGGTTCCCGGCGGGTTCCTGCCCCGCTCCGTGGAGCTCCCGCGCGCTGGCCGGGCTGCGGCGCTTCCCCGCGAGGCGACGGCGCCGTCTGCGGCTGCCGC